GTTCAACCTATTATTTATTGCATTTTCATTGGCCCATTCAAATAAGTTCCCGTCTTTTGTGAAATGATAGAAATTGGAAACTCTACGAAAGTTATCCTAATTTTAAAGGGCAAGGACATGGTATTACACCCAGAATGTACCCTTATTTATAAAACAATTACTTTTTTACAATTTTATTCAATATTTCAATAGAAATGAATGATATCTGGAGAGCTTTGACAGCTTCAAATTGCATTTCGAGAAGATGTTCCCTCATTGGTGGAAGCCTACATCAAATTTAAATGTTGGTGATATCGGCTCTTAATATCCAAATGTTTCGGTGATCTTTGAAGCATTTTGAATCATCAAGATTCTAGTTTTCGGCTTTTTTAGCAGACAAAAATAAAGACAACAAGAAAATCTTATAGATTTATCCCAGTTTTCAGAAATACCCTTGCATTCTCTGTGCACTGGTTAAAATTTTTTCTTGTGCTGTCAACGGTTGCTCCTATTTTTTTTTTGCTAAAAAACTTGCAACCAGTATCTTAAAGCTTCAAAACTGCTTTTTTTAAAGTCTACATACGACCATTTTTCACCAAAATACAGCCTGTCAAAAATCACTAAAAAATTTGGATCCCTTGATTTTTTTTAGTAGTGTACGAGCCCCTTCCCACTTCAGTTGGCCCACTTCAAGATTTGTACCAAAATATGCCTTTATAAACTAAACATGACGAAACTATTTACTTCTAAAACAATTTATTTTTCAAAATCATTTTAGATACACTCTAGTCGTAAAAAATACATATATACAATTTTTTTACACCAAGTTTTGGCAAACAATCCCATTTCCTTGAAGCTTTTGTCTCAGTTCGGTGATTGTACGAGCAGGATGTTGTCGTAGAACCTTTTTCATCTCGTGCCACAAAGTTTCAATAGGTGACAGATCTGGACTGCTAGAAACCCATTTCAAAAGTGGTACATTATTTTCTTCCATCCATTTTATAGCCTTTTTTGAGGTATGGCACGCTGCTCCATCTTGCTGAAATACAAAATCTTGGCCGGATGTCAAACATTCTTCGATCACTGATAAAAGCGATTCTTCTAAAATTGCCAAATATTTGTTTGTATCCACATTTCCATCAATAAAATGAAGATTTTCTACTCCTTTTGATGACATAGTGCCCCAGACGATAATTGATGCTGGAAATTTCACTTTTCTCTTCAGACAGTCAACCTGGAACGCTTAGTTTTTTTGCGAATAACTCTACTGCGACTGTCAGCAACACACACGTCGAATCGGGCCTCATCACTCCATTCTATTGCACACCATTGTTGAGGTGTCCATTGTCTATGTTCTTTAGCCCATCTAAGCCGATTTTTCTTTTGCAGTGGAGTTAATAGTGGCTTTTCTTTGGCCTATAAACAAGTTGTGCAACTTTAGGGTTTTTACTTCACTTTTTTTTATAAGAAAACTTACCTTGCAAGTGATAAATCCCAGTTTGTGGGCCTCTCTATGAGTTGTGGACCTCGAAATTCTCCTTCCAACAGCGTCACTCCACAGAGCACTTAATTGTAAATAATTGGCACGCCTGTTTTTTACGATTATTCTTCTTAACGCTCGTCGGTCGGCATTTGTGATATTACTTTTTTTCACATATCGTGGCTTATCTAATATTAACTGAACCAGTTAGGTTATATCTTCTAACAATATTTCTCACACTGTACCGCGATAAGTCTAACAAAGTTGCAATTTTTGAGTTTGATTTCCCAGAATTAAAAAATTTAATTATCAGTAACCGAATTTTCTCACCAGTAACCCATTTTGAAAGCCTTAACTACCCAAAACTATTTGAAACGTATTCTGACAGCTGTGATTAATAAAAACAATTGTCATGGCTTTTATTTTTCACAGCCACCTATGCGTTATAGACGTATTTTGCATTGAAATAAAAATACGTTGATATGCTGTAATTGCACATGTGTTATTTTTATGCTGCAAATTTGATTAGGGAGTCATAAAGTTGGTGTTTTCTACTATATATTATCAAAATATTCATTGTTAATATTGTAAACCTATAACAGCCTGCTACACTTTATTATTTGTGTTTGATAAGAAAAAAACTAAGATTTCAATAGTTGGGCCAACTGAAGTGGGATCTCCATAAATAGCATTAAACAGCTTAATCCAAACCAGCGCCAAAAATTCAGACACTTTAATGATAAACGTTCCCAAAAAACTATTCCCGCATGTCTAATTGCAAAATATTTCAAAATGATTTATTTGCTCTTGAAACCGGCCGCGTATGTGTAATTTGTCAGATGCAAAAAGCTCTTGCGCGAAAATATTCGGCGGTGTATTTTTAGCGTTTAGCATATACACAGATCGGAGCTCACGAGTCTGCATAATGTTAATGTGCGAATTTTAATGCACTTCTGCGCCCATAAATTCGCCTCAAGTGTATACAAGTGGAGATTTCGGGTAATTTAGGAGAAACTTTGATCATGAGACCAGTCACCGTTTTAAACTGGTGAAAAACTCGTATATGATATTTTAATAAGGCTTAAGAAATGGCGTCAAGTAGGTTGATTCTGCACTTCCCGCGCAACGGCGCTTATCAATTTATAAAGGTTTATGTTCAGCACAAGTTAGATCCTAACGAAATAATACAGCGACATAACTACATATCATAGAGAATAGTTTGTCCCAGAGACCAAGACCATGCTGATGAGTCGCCAAAAACACGAAACAGCTGTCGATGATTGGCTGTCTTTGGTCGAACGGACGTTAGAAGATTATTGGGGCTAGAATTCTAGTTTTGAAAAACAGAATGTTACTTTTTGATTTAGAAGGGTTAAGGATTACCGGATAGACGACAGAGGATGGACCAAATTACTTAAGCGTAATTTAGAGGACGCTTTGCAGCTAAAACATATTCGATGTATCTTTTGCATCTCCGGACCCGTACTTTGTAAGCTTGAGAGACCTTAACAGCCCAATAAAGGAACCTCGAATCGGATTTCACCAGTTTTTATAGCCGTTCATTGTACATACGAACACTCTGGATTTTATTGACCTCTTAGCACGTCGGACAAACGAACGGAAGAGGAAGTCTATCGTCGGTATCAGCATTTCGTCTGGGGATTTTATAAGTGGCCTACTACCAGGCATGCCACACGTTGATACTAAAAATATTCTACATTTTCCGATCGAACATTTTTTGTTTGATTCTCGGATCGAGAAATGTCACTTGTACTGTAGCTAGCTTTTAAGATAACTGGCATCCATGTCAAATACGCTGACGGTAAATAAGCAATTTGAGGTTAGAACAAATTTGAATTCCATTTCTCTTTTGTTCCTATACCAAATGTTGTAATGTTTCGCCTAGGGCGGTCAATAAAGTTTTAAGGATAATCAAGCGCAATCGCACAGCAACCCTCTGTTGCGAGATTCAGTGGACTACACAGTCGAGCAAGTTCGCAAACATTCCAGGCCGCGCCTCGCACTGTGATCAAAATTAAATTGTAAATTCAGACCAGTCCAAAATTATTGCAGCATACAAAACCGATCAAAATTATTTTTGGTGTTACAAAATAATTCGAGTAGTCAAAGCAATAATGCTTAAGCTATTTCAAATGATTTACTTCTTTTCTTTGCCCTATTTCTTCCTTCCTTTCTTTCCTTCTTTCCCTTTTCCCTTAAACATGTTTGGAATCTGTTTTAAGGGGAAATTCTACATTTAGGACCTTTGAACCTCTATGGGACGATGTGGCGAAGCGTCTTAAATGTACGAAAACTGAATGCTTCTTTATCACCAAACAATACACGCAGCCATCAAAAAAACTTAACAGAAAACCCTGACCACTTTATCACTTGTTTTCCATGGCAACATAAATCGATATGTAAAAAATTATTGAATTATAATAGCAATTGTCGAGGGATATACATTGGGGATCGTCTGTTGAGTCCCGACGAGGCTTTATCCTTCAAAAGAGAAGAAACAGAATCTTATTCTAGCTTCTTCTAGAGACTCGTTGAAAAACAGATAAAATACTAACGTTAACATCATTACTAATTTTAGCGGCGTGCCTTCATGTGAAGAGGAAGTCTATAGTCGGTATCAACATTTCGTCCGGGGATTTTATGAGTAACCTGCTATCAGTAAATAGGAATCATGTTAAAGGTTCTTCGTTCACTTCAATTTTCTCAGCCTGGCATAATTTATAATTTTTTAACCATTTCTACAGGGTGTTTGGTGCATCGTTTGCCAAATTACAATGGCGGACAGGGGAGGTCTTTTTCTATCACCCCAGGTCCCTCAAGCAGTTTTTAGCCGAACATTTTTTTGTTCTTCTTTGTAATCCGTTGTGAGTTTATAAATAAAAAACTACATGCTGCTGGCAAGTAATCTTGATTTTGTAAGAGTGGTAAAACATCACCCATTAAGATAAATTAATCATTAGGTGGACATACTCTTTATTTTTTTATTTCACTTTGTGTATTAAATTTTGGAGTTTTTACTAAAAAAAAGTTAAAAAATCTACATAATTAATTCCGTCGGACTAGAAACGGTTTGACCTGGGGTGATAGAAAAAGACCTCCTCTGTCCGGCATTTCAATTTGGCAAACGATGCACCAATTTTATTGTTCATCTAAATTTGAATATTGGGTTTATTCCCTTTTTACCTTTTGTTGCCACTTTGTGTTTCATGTTTGTCGTATTTACGTATTGTTTTATTATTATTATAAATTATTATTATCATCATTATTATTTTTATCATTATTGTTATTATTATAAATCAATGCATCAACCTGCAGTTTCGATAACACAGTGTTTTCATCAAAGCTTCTGACATTCCAACAATAGTATTTAACTTCTCACTCCCTAGAGACTTGGGCAGTATAGTTACAGAGTTAAAGATTGTAGCGCTTATTTGTTTCGTGATTTGTTGTACAATATATGTCCTCTAAAGTTAAGCGGTGGAGCAGACAAAATTAATAGATAATTTTTTTTTTGTTTCAGAAGAGGAATGTTACCATTGTATGGCGAGTCTGGTGGCGTCGAAAGAAAAGACATTCATTACGCAGACGAAGCTGCTGTATGAAGTAACTTGGAAGACTGTGATGCAAATATGCAAAAAACACGTTGTAAGTATATCAGAATTATAGTCCCTGAAGGTTGTTTGTCACTATTTGAAATTTGGTGCTGAATTTAGGACGCTAAATTAAAAAGGATAAAGTCAGACAGCGTCTACAGTATATTCAGATAAGAGATAGACCGGACATAAACAAGACCACGTGATCATCGAACGCTGTAACATTCGGCAGGGACGTATTAAGAGTCACGCAGTACATATTTTAGATAGTAGATGCTGCTTTGCGTAACTTTGTAGTAAATTAGCACAATGTGTATACGATTGGTGATGGATATAGGATCATGTGGGGGTGGGGTAAGAAATATATAATGATGTAAATATACATAAGGGTTTCAAAATTTTCGCTTCGATTTCCAGCTTCGAATGCCGCCTGATGTTTGGTGAAATATAGTCGAAAATAATCTCAAAATGGCGTTTAAATTAGCCTAAATTAAAAATAATCGTATATCTCTTAAAATTGCTTTTAGAATATTGATTAGTATATTTTTTGATTTCTAAGTAAATATGTAACTAAATTAAAACGTTCAAAACGTAAAAAAATGTGCATGGTTGAACATTGTCAGAAAGTAGATTCTTGAATAGGTTTTGCCAAAATGGGTTCAAAAATGTCAATAATTAATTAAAAAATACAGTAGCTTTATAATTACTTATAACTTACCGAATTTGATGAACGACATCTTTTATTGGAAAGATGAGCTTGATGAGCTTTCATCATCGCTACTGCCTGAAGCACCAACGTCAATAATGAATGGCTCGACTTGTTCCTCTAAAATATTGTCCAGTTCCCACATACTCTTTTCAACTTTGTCTTTCACGTGCTTAATACAGTTGTCCCATTTTTGCGCTGTTATTAATTTTAGTGCTTCTTTGAAAAAACCTTTAAGATTACAAAATTTAAAAGTTGTATTGTGCTTAGCTATATAATTTTTAACCTCTGCCCATATGAGCTCAATGGGATTGAGCTCGCAATGGTATGGAGGTAAACGGAGCACAGTTTTATTTTGACTTGCTGCCATTTCGTCAATGGCGTATTTTTGATATTCCGCCTTGTGATCCTTGACAATTCTTAATAATTGTACTTTCAGCATTGCTTCTTCAAAGTTGATATTTTTCGAGCGGAGCCAATTTTGAACATCAACTTTCCTTGAAGCCGTTGTTGGGACCTTCTCCATTCTTCGAGAATGATAAGGCGCATTATCCAACACAATTACTGCGTTTTCCTCTAAGTTCGGTGAAATTTTTGAAAACCACTGTTCAAACGATTCGCCATTCATTTCCTCGTGGTAATCTCCAGTTTTCTTAGACTCAAAGCACCACAGACCGTCAACAACAAATCCATCCTCACTGCCAATATGGCAGATAATGAGCCTTTTCCTTTTACCTGGAAATCGAAGTACTAACTGGTGTAGATTTATTTCAATAAGCGAACCTTTTTCAAATGTTTTCATCACATTCAGCGAAAAAACATTGAGACATGAGTATCAGATTGCTATAATTGGGATTATTTAGTCATATTGAAAGAAAGAATATTGAACGTCGTATGATTACTCAGCGCTTCACAATTTAATTTAAAGTTATAAACTATATATATAAAAAATGAATGATCAGGAACCTGAAATACGCGCAAATATTAATATTAACAAATTATAACTTTATAAAGCTTAAAGTATGAATTAAAATGATTAGAAATATTAGGAACGGTACACAATATAAAACTTAGTAACTTTTTTTAAGATTATAATATTCGACATATTTTAAGATTATATTAAAAAATTATTGAAATATCGAAAACACATAAAAACATGGCTTAAAGAAGTTCTAACAAATGAAAATGACAATAAAACATCCACGCATTTTATCGAAAGTTATAAAAGTTTTGTTACTTGTAATATGTTTTATCTGCCCCCTGGAATTAATGTTTAGAACCTTGTTCCCAAGGTTTGAAAAACATCCGATTGTTGTCTATTACTCGTATTTACCTGCTGGATTTTTTAATCCGGTGGACAGTCCATCTAGAAAGGCCCTCCTGGATGAAGTTACAGAATCATCAACCCATACTTTACTTGTAGTGTGTCCTGCGTTTACCCACGTTTCATCAAGGTAATAAATCTTCCTGTTTTGATTTCTATATTTCCCAATTTTTGTTAAATAATCCCTCCTCCATAGCACAATTTCTTCTCTATCCAGTAGTAACTATTACGACCCCGTTTTTTCCATTTGAAATTTAAATGCTTCAGTAATGCATGGAAAGTTGATCGTTTGAAATTTGGTAACGTTGTATCTCCATTTACCTCCTGCAGTACTTTATCTATAGTAGGTATTTCATTCCTAAAGAAGAATTCATGCACTTTCCTCCTAATCGCATGCTTATCAGCTTCATCCAATGATTTAACAATACTTTTGCGATGTTTACTGGTCATTGGCTCAGAAAAGGTGTGATTTTTTTTTGTATTGTCTTAACACATTAAACACTGATGCGCGACACACCCCAACTTTGTGAGAAACCTTCACAACAATTTCTTTGATGGTTGATGCCTCGTTCTCCTCGCGCTCGAGAGAACTTTGAAGTTGAGTCATTAATTTTCAGATAATGATTGTAGAAGGAAGATAAACCAAAATATGTGTGTAAAAATAAAAAAAAAAAATGTTACCTTGTTTAATAAAGTATCCTCCCGACAAGTATTTCAGTGCGGACCTGTATTGATCGTGCGGTCTTGGAGCAGCATGCCCTCACCTGTGAGGTCTTAAGTCACCTGATTCACGAGCCCTTTGTACTACATTAACAAAGGCACGAGGGGTTGGTTGCACTCGATTGGGAAACCGATTCGCATAAATCCGTGATGCATCCGGGAGCATTTTGTAAAGACTGCCCCCCGTAAATAAGAATCATGTCCACAAGTTTAGCATTTTCGTAAACATGTGCCATTTTTGATTTCGTTTGAACCACGCAACACACTACTATTCACTTACGCGTTATCGACTGACGAAAAACATCGTGATAAACGTTTCAAATTCTTTCGCTTTTTTGTTTCCGATGCGATGAACCGGTCAGGCGGATTATATCCGTTGTCGCCAAACACGAGCATATAATAGGCAGGGCGGTACTCAAACTTCCAAAGGGCTATAACTTTGTTACTTTAATTTTACCAGAAAAATGGTAAAGGAAAAAAACATTTCTTTTGATCAGATCTACTCACTGTTAAAATAAATGACTCAACTTCGAAGTCACCCTGTATATATTCAAAATGACCTCTTTCATTTCTGCACTCAGGTGTCTTTTTTTAGAGCGTTTCGTAGGTGGACTACAGGAGTTTACAACTTCATCGGCAGTATCTGTACTACTGGGCATTTTGCGCAAGCAGTTGATAACAATAACAATCAATAACAAGGTATAACAATAACAACGACAAACTCAACAACTTAATAAGATAACAAACGAAAACGTCCAAAGAAATATCAAATTGCAATGATGCACACGACATACGTAACACGTCTGAACCTGAATGTGACTCTGCCTTGATACGATTGCTCTGCCGCTCGGCATAGGCATTTAATTGCGAATTGACCAATGAGGGCTCCTGTTTTACGTCGAGACGGCGGTGTTAGCGTGAAAATCACCCGAACCTTTTGTTTACATCCGGTCTATCTCTTATCTGAATATACTGTAGTGCATAATTTTGTATGAACAAATTGCGACTCTGAGGTGCTAAAAACCCATTTTTACTATCCTTGACTACATAGAAGTGAAGCTTTGCTCAATGAGGTACTGTGGGGCGCTGAATATGAATATCATAGTGAACAAATTCTAAAGTGTCATCAGACAGGATTAAGGCCCGTATCGTCAGTCGTCGCTACAATATTGTAGGGCGCCTTTATGGCCTCCTTGATTGTCATAGTTTTCTACTTCTCCGTGTCAGAACTCTATTTTGAGGTTATGTCACAAACATCTATTTGCATCAAATTGTGCTTGCTTTTGAGTTATATCATGTTTTATCAGCCTGAAATTTCCCACAATTTAAAAAGAAAACATCTTCACAATAGGAGAGCGCTGACGCTCACACGGGACAAGTGTAATCTAGAATTTTTTTAAGGAGAGAAAGGAGTATGACAATCAAGGAGGCCATAAACGCGCCCTACAATTGTAGGGACGACTGACGATACGGGCCTTAGGGTGAAAATTTGACAGGAAACAATTTTTCCGGGCTAGCCGTCATTTCTAGTACTGAATCGACATCGCATTTGGAATCTACGCACCCGATTCACCTAGAGAACAAGCTTACATCTCGATCATAGACGTGCAACAGTTTTTAGATATTTTTTATTAGTCATTTTTTTGACAAAGTTGAATTCTTGCCAGTATCTCAAAAACGAGGCATTTTCGGACAGAATGGGCCATGGATTCGGTTTCAGCGACCCAAAAAGCGTATCATAAGACATGTTGCGTTAACGTTTCCGACTGACCCATTTTGTGCCTTTTTGGTAACAATACCCCTTATAGATTATAATTATATGTTAAAATGTCTTAAATGCGGTTCAAATGACCTTTATTCCACGTATTTTGGGCTGCCAATACCGAATCCGAAGTCGTTCCACGTGTATATGATCCCGTTTATCATTTGGATCTAATTATTTAGCAAAAAATTGCAAAACTACGCGTTTTTTGCGACTTTAAGGTGCTAAAAACCATTCTTACTATCGTTGACTACATAGAAGCGAAGCTATGCTCAATGAAATAATTTGGGGCGCTGAATATGAATATCATAGCGAAACAATTCTAAAGTGTCATCAGACTGGATTTAGAGAGAAAATTTGACAGGAAACAATTTTTCCGGGTCAGCCTTCATTTCTAGCACTATATCAACATCGAATTTGGAATCTACGCACCCGATTTACCAAGGAAACAATCCTCCATCTCGACCATAGACGCGCAACAGTTTTTAGATAATTTTTATTAGTAGTTATTTGACAAAGTTGAATCTCGAAAACGAGGCATTTTCGGACTGAAACACAGCTCGAAAGAAGAAAGTGCTACCGGTGTACTTGCTATGGAGACGGAGAATAAGAGGAAGAATTTTTTTTTGCTTCAAAATCCAATGACAAAACACAACACTTGAACAAAAAGTGTGCGTCCATATTACGAGTCTATCGCGGTTGCAACGACGGGCGCGAAATATCAAACATTATGAAACGCGCCTTTACGTCCATAGTGTAGAGTGTTATTGTATTGTAATGGCGGATACTGAATTGTTTACAAGTGCAATTCAATCTAAACCACCTATTTGGCAAAGTAAACATGCACACCACAGATATTTTACCTAGGATATAGTTAAGTGTAACACAGGCATTCGAGAGTACTCCGAAAATTTGGTAGGGTATGATCTCAGTTCGTCATACAAATGAAAAAATTCACCAGTTGTTTCTCTGTTTTAATTTATTTCGTGCACACCATCTCGAATGTTCAACACCATCGATCTCAGGATCGGACTGTCTAGTAGATCAAATAGCCGTCCATAGTTTGGAACTTTTGATAATACGTCGAACCAAGCCTTAGGCCCTAGTCACCGCGCATTCAGTATGGACTCGCACAACATCCCTGCAAAACCTGAACAGAAACAAATCAGGAACACCCTTCCACCAATACAAATCGATGAGTTTTTTCTGTCCACTTCTCTCGCAAAGGACGAAAAACTCGTAACTCTCTTATCAGTACACAAAGATAGTACCACAAAAAATGTCTGACGCCGGTTGGTTAACCAATACGATCACTTCTGCCCAGTTCTCTCGCAAAGGACGAAAAACTCGTTGCCAGGCTCTTATCAGTTCACAGAAATAGTACCACAAAAAATGTCTGACGCTGATTGGTCAACCAATACGATCATCGTTTGCCGAATATTCTACGGACGCTCTGCTAGAGGTATGTCGTGTTTTTTTTATGGCTCATAGGATGTTATTGGTTATTCTGAATTCCCTTTGCTTGCTATGGTGTAGGAAACCTTGGAATGTGATTTTTGACAGTGGAGGTTTTGGTACTAGTTGATTATCAATTTGTTTACAAATGTTTGCGTCATTGTGTATTGTGATTCATAGGTGATGCTGAGAGACTGGACAGACATTCACATTCGTATACATAGATTGATTTTATTATCTTTGATCCATTAGATGCAGTAGATTCCATTTTCTCTCTAACAGTTTCCAAGAGATATTGAATCAAGTAAGCTGACTCGACACTTTCCATAATGAGTTCGTCCCAATTTTGATAACTTGTAGCTTGTACAGGGTGCGTCATCTATTACTTTTTCTTCTATTTGAAAAATTAACACGCTTTTTACGAGGTGAAATCGAATTTTTTTTTATTGATAAATGACGGTTGGTTTATGCCCTTTATGTATGAAAAATAACATCAGTCATTTGACCACCACGGCTTCGTGGACAGGCATCAATTCTTGTGTTAGTTGGATTTTGGATGGATGGAGGTGTAAATCAATGTGTAAAATCCGGTAAAATTCCCAATTGTTGCAAACGGTGTTTCGATAACCAAAATGTGTTGTTGTGTTTTAAACGAATCCATGACTATAAACTCGTAGCATACCTTTGACAGTTCATTTATGCATAACCACATGACTTTTGACTCACATGGTAACTCATAAACTTATATGTAAAAAAAAGTAATAGATGGCGCACCCAGTAGATGAAACGACGAATATTGCTGGCGTTTTACTTATCGTTAGTGACGCCAATCTTGTTAAAAATGGAACCGAGTAGGTTGACTTGGTACTTCCCATACATCTCAGATTTTCTGAGTTAAACGGTTAGAAGTTTCCAAAAAAGTCAAGCCTGCAGAAAGTTAACAGAATCCAGACACAAACATTTTGCGCTACATCATGATTTTTTTCCAAAATTGAAAATCCGCTGTTTTGAGAAATATAACTTATGTAAAGTTCCATTGTTGCATTTTTTTTTTCATTTAAAAGTCGACATTCCTTCGGGATCATAAGTTTTGGGTTCGTCGATGTTTTTGCCTTGTACTCCGCCTATGGCCAATCGCAACCCTACCGCCTGTTAGAAATATAAGAGAAGCCCTATTTTATGTTTTTCTCTTATCGTGTCTATTTTTCGCGTCTGTCTCGTGCAATCTGATTAAACGTTGAACGAAAATAGCAACGGTACTATTTATACGGGTAATGACATTGAAATCTTATACGTCTACCTTGAATCGTACACAATAATGATAGAGATATAATGGTATCCGAAAAACCTTTCCACTGCAGTGAAAAAATTCCGCTCATGTGTCGGAAGTTATAATCATAATTGTTCAAGGAAGAATATCGACCGGTTTTCTTGATACAGGGCACGTTCGAGAAGTCCTATAGTTTCATATTACAGTGATAGTCTAATCATATTAGACGAAATTACTCCTGGTTTGCGAAATAATTGTAAAGTCTGGTGTAATTGATGCAAGTTGTTCATGTGGGTATTTAAAATATGGACGCATAAAATGGGTACACCAATTTTTATGGGAAAACTTTTTATTAGACAACAAAGAATGAGAAAACCCGTTTTTTGCGGATGTGTCTATCGCCTTTTGTTACGAAGAAAACATTTTTTTTTCAAGACTTCATCCATAGTTAGAGCTGAAATTTTTACATGGTCAAAGATGAGCAATAAAGTTTATAAAAAAGTCGATAATCGTTGTATGAGTCATGAACAGTATTTGAAGTGTATGGAAGACGTCAAAGCTGCAAAAAAGCCACGAAGCGGTCGACATCACAATATCGCTGTTTGAAGCCTTTCGATGTGTGTTTCATGGGTGACATCGACAAGTTAATTGCTCCTTTATAAAATGACCAATACCGAGGACACCAAATAGGTACTAAAAAACCTTTTATATTGTTTTTGTCCGGTTAGGAGAACTTTTTATATATATAGCCCCACAGTACCCCATGGGTGTTTAGGCCTTAGGGCTTCGTGGTAGTTGGAGTATAGAAACAATGCAAATTATATGGGATTCGGTCGGGACCATGAGAAACTCTCGGTTTACTGTATTTATTTCTGAGGATATTCTGCTTGGTCTTCAGCTTCAGAATTCGAATGTTTCCATAGCATCCCAAACAAGAGCATGCAGATCTTACGAAGTCCTTTTAAATGAAAATATTCACATACTACACGGTGTTCCTGCGAATATTTAAGGGTGTGAATCTACGTGAAAAATTAATGTTAGTTTGCTTTATAAACTATGGTCCAAAAATGTTTCCTTACAAAAACTCGGGGAGTTGAAGTTTTAGAAAAAAAATGGAAATTAATTAATATTTTCAGAACCGCTTCAGATATTTCACTGATATTTAGTACGTAGTTAAAGTTAATAAAGCTGCATATTTTTCAATGCAAAAATAATTTTTAACTTTAACAGTGGCGTGCGTACGGGTATTGACTTCGATATTTTTCAAGAAAAAAATTGTACGCCAATGGTTTCTTGCCAAATAAAAATTATTTTTGAATTCCCCGTTCAATTTAAAACAAATTATCTCTCTTAAATTGTTTTCCTTCGATGCGCCATTTTTGACTAAAAAAATAAAAACCGGTCTATTGTCTAACTTGCAAAATTATTATTAATTTAATTGGAAAAGTTAAACACATTAGGAGTAACGAACAACAACAACTGGCAACATAACATTAAAACCAACGAGGTTATTACAGAAATTGTTGAAAATGGCACGCCCCCTTCACTTAGTATGCGGTTCTGAAAATGTTAATTAATTTCCATTTTTTTCCTAAAACTTCAACACCCCGAGTTTTTATAAGGAAGCATTTTTGGACCATAGGTTATAAAGCAAACTATCATTAATTTTCATGTAGATTCACATCCTTAACATTCGAATATCATAAAGGAACATCCTGTGTATCTGTCAAATGTCGCAGTCAAAGATTGTTCTAAAATCTTCGATGCCGTAGGGAATATAGGAAGATATGTTCATCTTGAATTATTTTTTATTAGCAACATGGAATTGTACAAATCGATGTGAAAATAGATGATTTCTAAGTGTTGCTTAGTCGTTTATATCGCTCTCAAACGCAAAAAATTAATAAAAGCTTCTTTTGTTGCAGAAATCAGCCGCTGTGCATTTGGCTAGGCACTGTAGCAACAATCGGTCAGAGAGGATATACATGGACTGGATATGGTGGATATTCCAAGGACTTCCGTTTCACCATCTTGTCCGAATCATGGACTGTTTTTTTCACGAGGGTATAAAGGTATGAAACATGTATTTTTCGAGTAATAGTTCAGACAGTTATGTTTTTTCGTACAAATTCAGTGCTTTTGAAAAAAGATCCCCTCCCCACTTATTTTTTGAACGGGTCAAATCAGCAAGCCGAAATTCGACATGTTGAAGCATTTTTTTCAAAATGATGCGGAAGGGTCACGTGATACTGTATTCTGAAGCATCTCATCAGGCGAACTGCCAAGGTGGTGAAAGTGAGCATTAAACCGCTTATAACTCAACATCTTATCATCCAAAGGCAGGTATGTTATGCAGGGTGTTAGGGAAATAATACTCTTAACTTTAAGAGGTCATTCCTTGCATTATTCTAAGCAAAAAGGTTCATTATAACTTATGTCCGAAAATCAGTCGTTTTTGAGGAAAGTGAGTCGCAAATGATTAAATTTTCTCAAATGTTTGGCAACGCTGCGGCGCAACCGCGATACGAGCGCATAGAATTGTTTACGTTTGTATGATATTTTTGTTGAAAATATGCCTTGAATTATTGAATACTTTTACGCATTTTTTTGTGACTAATATTTCTTATTTATTAATGCTTTCAGTACAGTACATTTACTTAAAAAAATACACACCACCAATTCCCACGATTATCAGTCACTTATTTGAAACGATGCGATGCACGAAAAAAGAAAAAAAACGACATCCGTAAATTACATAAAGTTACAGTTAAATGTATTAGTAATCACAACAACACGCGATGATACATGCAGTCTAGGCGGAGTACGACGTTGCCAGTTGAGTGAAGGATTTTGTTTGTCTGTTTTTCTTCGGAAAATTGTATTTAATAAGCCAGAAAATTATTTTGTTAGAGATAGTTAATTAATAAATAACTGACATTTTACGCTATTAGGCATATGAATTTAAATTATTAAGGTGCAAAATTAATTTATTTCATGACTAAAAAGACATATCTTCATTTTTTTGCTCCGAAAAGGTTGATTTTCGGGCATAGGTTATAATGAACTTTTTGGCTTAGAATAATGCAAGGAATCACCTCTTAAAGTTACGAATATTATTTCCCTAAGACCCTGTATAAATCACCGTTTTTTGGAATTGTCTGTCTGAATGCACAACAAAAATATGGGGCAACAAAATTGCGAGGTAGTAGATTGATATAACATCGTTAGCGACTACTATGAAATAAGATTATTTTGAATTCTAGTCTAGTTCAATTTGATCCTAGATTACGGTAAAATATAAGTCCTGCTCAATCCCGCCACAAAAATTTCGTTCAGTCTGCTACGCTATGTAGACGGAATTCTCATAGAGTTGCCTACTTTTTTTTTTAAGAAATAAACTAGGTCCAAAGAGAAAAATACGAATAAATGTTTTAAAAAATGAACAATATTCACTTATTTAATAATATTTTTTTTATTATAACTGCATATTATGCAGTATATTATAGTACATATATATTGATAATAATACGTAATAATTATAACAATCAACAATATTTTTCTGGTTTAACTTTTTAAATACATATTTATTAAAGTTTCTCGCAGAACTTATCGATGTAGTGTTATTTTGGAAAGTTTCGTAAGCGTCACTAAAATTATAATAAATATGGAGCTCACTTTTTTTTAAATTTAAAATTAAATAAATAATAGTTATTATACAAGGGACAAAACTACCAGATTTTCCCGTGTATAATATACAATTTTTTTTTTGACGGGAAAACGACGATTTAATATTGAAAAATTATATTATTACAATATTCAAGGCAAAAAATTATCGATGTGAAATTTGAATTTTGAAATTAGTAAACTTTTAAAGTAATTAAATAGCTGTCAGTTAAATTTTGTGATTTGATTTAAAAATTGTGAACTTAGTGATTGTTTAGAAGTTATTTTTATATATAAAGTAAAAAATGTCCGATTCCGAGTTTTATTTGACTCCAAAATAATTAGTAGAAGTAGCCAAAGTAGCGTCCCAAAAATTATGGCCAGCTAAATCGCGGAAAATTTACGAAAGCGTGTATTCAATAGTATTCATTATTTTCCCGGGGAAAAAAGTAATTTCATTAAAAGTGACATTTTGTTACCTGCTAACAGACATAAAATGTCAGCTCTCTCTGTAAATGCTGAAGTAGCAGGAACAGAAAGTAGATATGAAACAACTTTAGTAATATTATTAATATTATTAAATTATTCTGAGGTGGTCACTAACAGATTGATGTTTCCACTTTTGACCAGTACTCATTTCGAGAAAATATTTTCCTTGGATACTTATAGAGTTCTTTGGATCTCTATGGATACCTGTCTATGATGCTAAAAACAGTACCTCTGTTACTTGATTTTTGTTTAACATTAAAAAGTGTAATTAAGTGAAAAACAGTATAATACTGTTTTTACCAGTAAATTCACATGGCCGGATCTCAGACCACTGTACGAACAAACGTATAGTCACTTATCAATGTCATTACCTTGCATTTCATCTTGATGACTTGTTAAAAAATATGATGGGAGACCTTTTTGAAAAACACTGTTATTCCGTTTTGTACTGTACCTTTGACAGTACAACACGGCTTCCGGTTTGCGAATTTAACTATTGGAAATTAAAATATTGAAAAAATATTATCAGTTACAAAATGAAAATAGTTGTTTGTGAATCGTTATCCATCTGTGAATATCGAATTTATCCTACTCAGGTACTCTATAGGACGGCGATGGCGATACTGATCCTATTCCAAAAGTTCACGACGTCCTCATCGGAATGGCTGGCCGAAATACAGAAAAATGGCGTCGACAGCGCTCTTACGAAATTTTGTAAGGAACTGCCTGTCACGCCACAAAAATTACTCAAGGTAAGGAGCATATCTCGATCGAAAAAAATATTGGCTTTGAAGGCAAGTGACAAAAATTAGAGTTGAATCTAAATACAAGGAATTACAAACACAAATTGAGGTTCAGATACATGATGGCAAGTTGAGTTTTAGAAGACATATTTTTTATCACAATTTAATTTTAATAGGGCTTATTTTCGTAACATCTGATGAAATCATGGTAGAAGTAGGATCATTTTTTAACGACAGGGTGAAGGAAAACTTGTGATTACGCTGTGGCGCAAAATTTTACGTTAGAACCTGTTGAAGATTTGTTAAAAAAAGAACTAAAACTTTGGAATATAGAGGTAAAATGGTTATAATTCGCCTAAATTGTTTTTTTTTAATTTCTCAAGCTACCAGTCTATGGAATCGGTCTGAGATGTTCAGGAACTATGATTCACCGACTGAAATGCACGTTATGGTTTGAATTATTTGTGCCGTGTCCGATTTTCTAACTCCTACTTTATTTTTTGAGAATTAAGTGAAAATGCTTGGAGAATTTGATGAGAAGCAATTTTGATTTCTAAGGTACGGCGCTCATTTCACCGCTCCTTGAATTTAAGACGTGAAAATACTTAGACCCAAGATTAGACCATTCTGTTCCAAATGTTTAGCAGCAAAGGACTTTGTTGGTGATGAAAAGTGGTGTACAAATCTGATGGATTTAAAATATACGAATAATACTGCAACATTTTTCTAATTTTGCTCATAGCATATTTAAATTAGCTTTCTGATTCATCGGATTTAATCGAACCTGGCCTTAAGGTGGCACTACCCTTTTTTAGATTTCTTTTCAACTTCCTGTTTGCAACAGTATTCTAAATTATTTTCATCTGATAATTTCATGGTATAGAGATGACTAAAAAACAATATTTTCATTTTTTGTGCATTTTATTATGCTTTCTTTCTTCAGTCGGAGCTTGCTAACAAATATGAGCACAGCTCTGAAATTATGTGTGAATATTCCTCTTTTATGGAAGAATGAAACGAGTGATTACTTTTGCTCTTAACACTTTTCCTTTTAGAAGAATCTTTGATTTTCTTGAAACCTCGTCTCGCAGCAAGTTGAGTTTTTAAGAAAGCAAAGATTTTTCGAAAAGGAAATGATTAACAAAAGTAGTCACTCGTTTCGTTCTTCCATAAAAGAGGAAAATTCACACACAAGTTCAGAGCTGTACTTATATTTATTAACAAATTCCGATTTAAGACAAAATGCTCAAAAAATGCATTTTTTGACAGAAAAATGTAAACTTTGTTTTTTAATCATCTCTATACACAATTATCAGATGAAAAGGATTTAGAATCTTGCTGCAAACAGAAAATGTAAAAATCTAAAAAAGGGAGGTGCCACCTGAAAAGAATATGTCTGTATAAGTAAACCAAAAAATATTTATTTAATTTTTCTAATAAACCCGCTGTCATAATGCCAGAAATCTTCACGAAACTTATAGAAAACACTATGGAAGAGCACGATCACGAAAAGCAGAATGCTGCTGATATTTAGATGTCATATTTTTGACTATCACTTGCATAAAAAATGGCTTCAAGTAGGTTCAGCATAAATTAGACCCTTCTGAAAAAAGATCAGGCAAACAACAAACCGGTAATGCATCTGGAAAGTCGCCTCAACGGTCAGACGTGGCAACGCGATCAGAGCATAGGAAACACTATGCTGTGGCGCGACAGAAGTACGAGTAATACCAGGACAACAGAACACTCACCAAGGCCTAATCAGCAGCAGTTTTAAGGGCTAATGTACGGATTAAACTATGATGTGTGAAGTATGTTTAATAGCTGGGTAGAATTACCAAGGCTGGGAGCGTAACAACAAAAAATTTAAATAAACCCTCCCCAACCCCCACCTCCACGCTTTTTTTGTTTCTAATTATTTGTTAAATGATCAGGATCTTCTGAAACGTCAGAAAACGAAGTTTGGTCGATTTTTATTCTTTTTCGTTTTTAACCTTTTTCTCTACCGCTATTGATCGATAAATGGTTATGCGTGAAATGTTTTCATTCTTGAATATTCGAGAGATATCAGCTTTGGGTCCTCGCCCAACCAAATTGTACATAGATACCTTTTCTTATTTCTAATTTATACATTTTAAAGCGAAAACTTCAAAATAAATAAATGTCAACTGACACTAAGGTTAGTAAACAAACTTGTTTTTCCAATGGCAACTTGATATTATTTTGCGTTTATTAAAATTAAAGCCAATCAAGTTTGTGCAAATTTTTTTAGGGCATATGGTATGTTAGTAACATTGTGAAAAAATTACATCGGAATCCGACCGGTACTTCTCAAATTATAGGCTGTTACGGTTATAACATTAGCAGACAGACATACCGACGGAATTGAGTGACATAGTTTCGCATATCATCTCAGTAGACGAGGGAAGTAAAAAGTTTGAACCATAACGTTAATTTTGTTCCACCCTGTATAAGATTAACTAATCCTAATTTTTGTCAGAGTTTCTAACCTTTTTGTTTTGGTCAAATTCTCCAGGGTGTTAGGGAAATAATATTCGTTACTTTAAGAGGTGATTCCTTGCATTATTCTAAGCAAAAAAGTTCATTATAACTTATGCCTGAAAAACAGTTTTCGAGGAAAGTGAGTAGTAAATAATTAAATTTTCTCAAACATTTGGAAACGCTGCAACGTAACCGCGATACAACTGATGCAACTGATTCATCGAATTGTTTACGTTTTTATCATATTTTTGTTGAAAATATGCCTTGATTTATTATTATTATTTTGTGGCTAATATTTTTTTATTAAATAACGCTTTCAGTACATTTACAAAAAAAAATGACAGAACTTACCGGTGCGTAGCGATACACTCCACCAATTCCCACGATTATCAGTCACTTATTTGAAGCGATGCGATGCACGAAAAAAGAAAAAAACAACATCCGTAAATCACATAAAGTTACAGTTAAATGTATTAGTAATCACAACACGCGTTGATACATGCAGTGCAGGTGGAGTACGACGTTGCCAGTTGTGTGAGGGATTCTGTTTGTCTGTTTTTCTTCGGAACATTGTATTTAATAAGCAAGAAAATTATTTTGTTAGAAACAGTTAATTAACAAATAGTGTATTGATACATTTCACGCTATTAGGCATATGAATTTAAATTATTAAGGTACAAACTTAATTTATTTCATGACTAAAAAGAACAATTCGATGAATCAGTTGCGCTCGTATCGCGGTTGCGCCGCAGCGTTGCCAAACGTTTGAGAAAATTTAATCATTTACGATTCACTTTCCTCGAAAATGACTGATTTTCGGGCATAAGTTATAATGAACTTTTTTGCTTAGAATAATGCAAGGAATCACCTCTTAAAGTTACGAATATTATTTCCCTAACACCCCGTATATTGATTTGGTCTCCTATCCTAGGTGGCATTCGGTATACGTGGCCTAAGTTCCACGTACATAAGCCGGGTATTCCTGAAAACAGAAATGATCCTGCGGAGCAAAAGCGCGGTGAACGGCAGCAAGCAGATGGTTAGGTCGAGATCCAGCGAAAATCTGCCCAACAGCCAGAGCCAGAACAACATCCAGATGGTATCGCATACCCTTACCATCAGAGAGGTGAGTCTATGAATTTTGCATATGTTGAATTTTATTTGTTTTTGATCATTTGTCTATGCGCGACCGCACACGTACGGAATTCCGATTCGGAATAGCCCAGGAGTGTTAGACGTTTTCTGCTGAAAAATCGCTGCTGACTTCCGAACGTGTGAGGCTGCGCTATGTTTGAGAAAGTTTAGAGCTTGAATATTCCAAGTATATTGTGGTTTATTTCGTGCCGTTCATAAAGATAATGTGGATATAACATAGTATATTTTAATTTCGGGAGTCAATGTAATTTTATTCCATTTCATGTCTAGAGTATTCGTATTAAATTTTATAAAATCTAAAATGCGGCTAAACTAAAGTATGTCAACGTCCAGTAGATGGATCAAAGTAGCATTAAACTATCTATGTTACAAAAAATTGTTTCTTTGAATTTTCTTCTAAACCGTTGATATCAGAGCCTTCAGCTCTTGAAGGCTTTTGATGAAAATGGTATGGTTTTTTCTTTTAATCACTGGTTTACGATAAATCCGTGATGGAAAGTTTTCAAATGAACACCCTGTATGTTCCTTACAATACTTTCGTTACGGTGTTTAGGAGCAACTGTTGAAACTACTGTTCTATATACAGACAAGATTATATAAAACTGGAAAGAAAGCCGCCTCGTAAAACTATCGCAACGAGGCGTCTGAACTATCTGATATCGCCCAATAAACAGACCGCAAACTGCAAATTTTGATGCTCCCGCACCGTGAAGTTTCGCTGTAATATCCGCAAAGTAATGAACGTATATCAAAACAAACTACGGATACATGGTGGCCCACGAACTGGTTGGAACGTCTTCGTAAATATATCTTGCTAGTCCTTAAGCCGCGGTCAGATTCCGAGGTGGCAGGCGTCAGGTGACGGGTGGTAGGAGACAAGTGACGGTGCTGGTATCCGTTTTACATCTTTATATTGTTTTTAATCTAACCGTTTAGACCTGACATAGGTGGCGGGAGACGATACGGCCATCACTCGTATCTGCAAAATGTAGCAACATTTTTTGTAGGTAAAACAATGTTTTATGATAAAATGTAGGTCATGCATACCTGTCAATGATGATATCTTGAACGTATGTAAATAATCACTTAACGTCAATCCTCTCCATGTGTTAGTATCCAAGCTATATATATGTATACAGGGTTATCCAAATTAAGTGTCCACCATTAGTAACTTTGTTATTAGTGAAAATACAAAGTTGTTTGAATTAGCAAACTAGTAGCATTTTTAACGCTGGTAAAAATGAGAAATAAAAAAAAACAATTGAGAGTCGTTATTTTGATTTTTTTCAGTAAAATAACATTTTTTTAAATGGAAACCCCTGTATATTATATTTTTTTCTGTTAAAGCATCACATTTTAAACAAAAAAGTTCATAATGACTTTTCCGCTAAAGTCAAAAATAAAGTCAAAATAACGATAAATATTTTTAATTATTTGCAGTATTATAATATTAAGACGGCTATGAAAACAACATGGCGTTCGCGATTTGACAGCATTAAGATAAGCGACAAATTGTTAAACTGGACATACTCGCAACTAGAAGGCTTTGGAAAACAATGATAAAATCAAATAATGTCAAACATTAGTGTAAATACTTGTTTATAAGCTTTATTGTGTCATTAATTTAAAGAAAAATGTTCTCCCATGAAGAAAATTGTGTTATGTTAGAATGCTATTTAGTGTGCAGAAAATCCTCCTTGAGAGCAAGAGAATACTACAGTGAATTATATCCCGCTCGCATTCAATCGTATGAACGATATTTTCTGAGACTTTATCGAAAATTTAGGGGCAACGAAAATGTTTTTGCTAAAACAAGGGCAAAAAAAGAATTCATAATAAGCGAGGCCACGGAAATTGCAGTTATTGGATATTTTGAAGCTTATCGTGAGAATTCAATAGCAGATATTCTCAAGGACTCTAATTTCAGTTATGGTACTGTTCAAAGGATTTTAAAAAAATACAAATTTATTCCGTATAAGTACCGACCAGTTCAAACGCTTTTGGCAGGGGATCCAGAGAGAAGACTTGTTTTTTGCCATTGGTATCTTAGCTTCTGTCGCCAAAATGTAAATAACTTTCGTTACCTTTTATGGACAGATGAATCAAATTTTTCAAATTCTGGAATGTTTAATAGAAAAAACCACCATTATTGGTCAAGAGAAAATCTTTTGTTAGTACATCCAAGAGGCCCACAAGTCCGTTTCAGTTTCAACGTTTGGTGCGGTATAATTGGTTTAAAAATTGTTGGCCCGTTCTTTTATGAGGGAACCCTAACTGGTGAAAGATATGTGGAATTTATGTCAGAAATTCTGACTAATTTCTTAGACGAATTGGATCTTATAAGTAGACATCATCTGCATTTTCAGCAAGATGGCGCACCTGCCCACAACTCCAGAGGTACTTATCATTTTCTAAGTACTACTTTTAATGATCAGTGGATAGGAACAAATGGCCCAATACAGTGGCCTCCCAGATCACCAGATCTAAACCCACTTGATTACTTCTTGTGGGGTTACTTAAAGAACCAAATTTACAAGCGAAGGTACGATAACCTTGACGCGTTAAAGACTGCAGTTAGGGAAAAGATAACCCAGATAGATGGTAGGACCATACTTAAGACAGTTCGAGCAGTTGAAAAACGTGCCCAAAAATGTATTGAAGAACAAGGTGGTGTTTTCGAGCATCTTCTTTAAAAAAAATTGTTATTGTATTTTGTAAGATTATAAGTTGATGTTGAAAATAAAGTTTGTCGATACAATTTAATTGTTGGATTGGAGGCCATAACTTCAACAATTTGTAACCTAGGAGAAAAGTTATTGTAAGCTTTTTTGTTTAAAATTTGATGCTTTAACAGAAAAAAATATAATATACAGGGGTTTCCATTTAAAAAAATGTTATTTTACTGAAAAAAATCAAAATAACGACTCTTAATTGTTTTTTTTATATCTTATTTTTACCAGCGTTAAAAATGCTACTAGTTTGCTAATTCAAACAACTTTGTATTTTCACTAATAACAAAGTTACTAATGGTGGACACTTAATTTGGATAACCCTGTATATACAAGGTGTCCGCAAAGCTGGGGTTTTCCTTTACACGACGTGTAGATCTTGAAAACATAAGCAATTTTTCTTAGTACCATATACACCAATGTCTTAAGGGAACCGAGATAAAGGGCTCTGCAACATCAAAAATATCTGAATACCGTCCTGTAGCCGCGACCCGCGACATCACCGAGTAGTACAAGGTCACTGGCTCAACCCGACGACCGAACTGGGTTGGGGTCAGTGTATCAGGTCAGTATGCAACCTTCAACCGACGGTTACGGTCACGCTTGTAGAGGTAAACGAACCCCTATAATCGATTGCGTTTCAAAAAAAAAATAATGGCACACTCATACACCAATAATGAACTCGTTGATATGTTGTTAATTTATGGCGAATGTCTTCAAAATGCTACAGAGGCTTCGCGAGTGTATGCAGATCGTTTCTCTAGACGACATCATCCAAGGCCCCGCAGATCGCAGTCGGGGATACGGGCCATTTGGAGGAATTTCGAGGTGGGCACAGCGGGAGGCCTAGACAACTACGAATGGTGCAAGTTGAGAAAGAACTACTAAATCGCGTAGACGAGAATCCCTCAACAAGCACTAAAGACGTGGCTAGAGAAGTGCAAGTATCAAAAACTAAAGTGTGGCAAACGCTGCGCGAAGAGGGGCTGTATCCGTTTCACGTCCAACGTGTACAAGCCCTTCAACCTGACGATTTTCCAGCAAGAGTGCGGTTTTGTGAGTGGTTGTTGCATCAACATGACAATAATCCGGACTTTTTGAAGTGCATATTGGTGGTCGAATCTACGTTCACGCGTAATGGGGTGAATAACTTTCGCAACACTCATGTTTGGTCAGTAGAAAATCCGCACGCTGTCCGTCGGGCACATTTTCAACAAAAATTTTCGGTGAATGTTTGGGCTGGCATGGTGAACGGTATGCTCATTGGACCATTTATTCTCCCAAATCGATTGGACGGGATGCAATACCTAGACTTTTTACGCAACATTTTGCCTTCCTTGTTAGAAGATGTGCCATTAAGTGTAAGACAATCAATGTGGTTTCTGCACGATGGTGCATCGCCCCCTTTTAGACGCGAAGTGCGTGAGTTTTTGAATGAATTATTTCCTAATAAGAGGATCGGACGTAATAGACCCGTAGCGTGGCCTCCGCCTCCGCATGTGATTTTTTTCTTTGGGGAGAAATGAAACGCTTAGTGTACAAAACTGAAGTGCATACGGTTGACGAACTTCGTCTCAGAATTGAACAAGCTGGTGCTTTCATTCGGGGGAGGGACTCCATTCTCAAAGCCTGCACCGATGCTTGGCTACGTCGTGCACGCACCTGTGTTTTTGAATCAAACGGCGATAACTTCGAACAATACCTATAAAGTACGTTTACCTAAAAATGGAAAACGCGGCAACGCCGTCATATTTGTTACCTCTGTTCGTGGTCTGCACCACCGCCTGCGTCTGCTCGGTAGCGCATCAGCTGATTTCATTTTCTGTTGGAGCAGTATGCTTTCGGGCAGAGACATACTTAGCCCTTCTCGTTAACTGGAGAGTGAGTACTTTTTCCTTTATTTTTTTTACTTGGTCGCCCTCGTTTCACTACACATTACCTTTGTTATTTCAAGGGTAGTTGTTTCTGGAAAGGACAACCCCAACTTTGCAGACACCCTGTATATATATATATATATATGAGGGTGGTCCCAACGAAGAAAACACAAAATTTTTGTAAAAAAATGTATTTATTTTTCAACATACTCTCCTTTGAGCTCTATACATTTTTGCCAGCGATGTTCAGCTTTTATATTGGTTGGGCTGAGGCCTTTGAAATAAAAGTATTGTACCACATAACGATGACCAATTTTCTCCATTTTCACAAATTCACTGAAAACGTTCAGCACGAGTATTGATGGCTT